TCATGCAGGATTTCTAGTATCAACTACTTATTGTATGGAACCCAAGTGTGGGCCCTGAATTTGATGCTCCTCAAAAGTCGATTATATCTTATATCCAACCGTGCAAGCCCAACTACGAACCCAGAGTTACACCGTTAAGACAAGACCCTGGACTGAGGTGACCATGAAGGCTCAGGTGTAGGAGCTTAGGGCGGCTGCCTGCTCAGAGGGCTGTGGTCAAAGGTTGGTGGGTTCGGAGCGTGTTCGAAGCTCAAATCTCAAGCAAATCCCCAAAGCAATGCCAGATATTCTGTCAATGATCCGCTTCCGCATCTCCAGTATGCGACAGGGGTTTCATGAGGTTGTAAGGAATTTTCAAGAAAGCTTAAACATTGAGACCTTAAAGCAAATTGCAGTGCTTGCAAAGAAGAACTGGCTTTTCAAGCGTTGAAGGGACGGTCTGTGCATGACTCGCGACAGGCCGCAAGCTTTGACGCCGAGGAGCAGTCACAAGTTGCTGCATCACATGGTACACGTTTGTTTTTAGAACCCTAGGAAAGTGTACTAGTACACCTAAAGCATCCTGCTTTCAGCACCCCAAAGTAGAAACTTCCTCTCTGCAGTCACGTGGCACTGCCTTCAAACTGTCATTGCCTCGCAGTTTCCGAAAGAGCAGTTGGGGAAGGGACTGCGCAAACCACCTCTACAACCGCTCAAGGCCTGTGCATACGAGCCACAGCCTTACAGCCTTTGCACCAACTCGCAGCGTGCACCCTACTTGGACCTTCGCCATAACCACACAGCTTGAAAAGAACTTTCCTGAGCTTCTGAGAACACAGCATCAGAGTAAGGCTCCTTGAGCCGAGGCATTCAAGTCAAAAGCATCTGCCTCGTCGACAGACACATACAATTTCGCATCCGTCGGTGTGGCTCCCAAGTAGATCTGAGATTTTCTGTGAGCATTCCTGCACCCAGAAGGCTTCTTTGTGGATGCCTTCACTCATAAGCTTGGCCATGGCAGCGCAGACTGCTCCCAAACAAGTCCACTTGAGAGTTAGTTTCATAGTAACGATAGTAATACAAGTAAGAACGCTAAGAACGCTAGTAAGAGTAGTAATAATGCATGTTAGGATCCATTCCTCCATTCCTTACTAACCGCCAGTATGTCACCCGTCCTTGGGCTCTGTAAAGCTGATCTGGCTGAGGGGCCAGTTGTGGGCACCCTGCAGGGCAAGCAAAAGAGCGGCTTTTTTTGAAGATTTAACAAACCAAAATGTGAACTTCTTCTAAAACACTATACCCAAAATGAGGATCCAATCCTACTTAAAGTTGGGGCTATAGCATCCCAAACAACACTCTAGTCAGATCGGCTTCATGCTGATGCTGGAAATATATATATATAGTGGCATCAAGGACTACAACAGGCAACACAAAATCTTGTTCTATACCTCCCCTGAAACCCTCCAAGAAAAATGTGTTGCTTGTTACTGGGGATTTACAACAAGCAAAAACTAAAAGCCTTTGTAAGGAAAATCCCAGAAACAAAAAATGGAGACCCACCTTCCTGATTCTGAGCCTTCTCCCTCAGTCAAAACCCCAAACAATCCAAGCCCTGAGGGCAGACCTAACCAAGCCTATACCCCCAAGACACGGTTCCTGTTTAGGGTTTAGGGCACAAGCCCC